GATTTCCATGACTGTTCCAGGATTTTCATGACCGTGGGAATCCTGAGTGCACCTTCATAATGCATTCATGGAACATTCACTGCACCTTCATAATGCATTCATAGAACATCCATAAGCAGCATGCAAGTACACCTTAACATCCTAACATCCCTTAACAGCTCTAATATACATTAATAACAAACACTACATGATTATACAATTATAATGTTTATTATTACTAAATAATGTTTCTTAATAATATTAATGTATATTACAGCTGTTAATGTAGGATGTTATGGTATACATACATTATGAAGGTGTACTGAACGTTTTATGAATGCAATATACAAGCATTATGAAGGTGCAGTTAAGGTAAAGCATTACCTGTATGTTTGAAAACAAAAACATCTATCTATTACCAGAAAGAGTAAAATATTCCCCTTCCATACATAGCACCCCGTCCATATGTAACCCTGGTAAAAGGGCACAGCGATGCCTTGACACTCACCACAAGCGGAGAGGGAGCAGACAGGTAGCTGTCCTGTATAGTGACATTCATGTCCGAATCCACAATCACCCGTGCCCCCTTCCAAAACTCCAGAGGGGGCTTGAGGAGTCTGCCGCTGCGAGACACCTTGGTGTCACTCCCAGTTATGCCAGAGCGGGGCACTGCGTGGGACAGCATTTAGTATAATCATTAAGAATGATAACACACAGAAGGACAGGCTCTCTCCCAGCATATGGAACTAGCATGTTCATTCTTGTTTTAAATAATATTCAATCAATCATGGCACAAAAAAAACAACCGCTAGAAGTACAAAACATTACATATGGCTGGCATGCCTTCCTGTGTCTCCACTGTTTCAGACCACCGCTCGAAATGGCCCCCATTTTAATGTCCTGCAGGAGCTTATGTCACGCTTCACTTGCATTTACAAAGACTCACGTCTGCAGCAGACGCTCGTCCCTGGCAGGCAGGACGGCTACGCAGCAGCATGAGTGGACAAACTGGCTAGCAGGCCCCGTGGCCTTCACAAATGCTCAGGCAGATCCCTGCACTCAGATCCCGCTGCCCAGGTTTGGCTCTCCCAAAGATTTAGGGCAAGACAGAACGCACCGAAAATAAAAATAAAAAACCGTCCAAAATAATTCCTCAAAGTACTCACAGGTCCTGGGGGTCTTCAAGACGGACGGCCTGGGCGTGTGGCTCTTTGTTGTGGATTTGCTCTGCTTCTGGGCTGGTCTCCACTGAGAACCTTTGCCTTTTTGTTTATTTTTGTCAGAATCTGAACTGTGGCTGACAGGGGAAATAATCATGAGGGATTTCTCTCTTTGCCCATCACCCCTTAACATCTATCCTTCCTGTACATAGAAGTGTTCCATCTTCTATAGAAATTTCAAAACCTGTCCTTATATTGGCCACCATTCTCTAATAATATGACATCCAGCTGCAGGAACTAAGCATACATACCTTTTCAACTCTGCTAAACAGTCCTGCAGGTAAACCTTCCACTTTTCAGGGAAGCCAAAGAGGAACTTCTTCCGCAACCATCCAGGCAAAGCTATGCAGGGTGAAATACAAGTGTTACACAGGGGTAAGGGTGTCACCATTAGATCTTGAGAACTTAAAATATGTAGATGTGCTTCATGATCAATTGGATAGGGCGACAGCATACACTTATCGATGCTGGGGACCATCCGGCCCAGCAGCACATAGATGTTCCCAGAGATTGTCTTCAGCGTGTTGCTCGAGATTCTCTCTGCGATTATGTTGCTATGCCAAGGCATATTGTCGTCCCTTAGGGATACAAAATGCAAATCAGGTCAACAACAGCTTTTAAGTTTATAAGCTACTGTGTTACAACAGGCTCCTGGGGACGCATTGAGGAAATGTCCTACCTTAAGACAGGTAGAGTATAAGACAGGATTTGCTTCTGTAAAACCTAATTAACTTTAGGAATCCTATCTTATTTCATCCTATCTTATCACAGGTTAAGAAATCCTAAATACAATCACTTAACTTTTAAGTCTGTTAAAATATTTTAGGAAGTTAGGAAAAAGGGATTACAAGGTTCCTATCTTAAGGTTAGGATAGAAATATTGACTTAGGAGCTTTTCACCTGTAACGATTTTTTTCCCCCCAAAATCAGGCCCTAATCCTAGATACCATGCTTAACAAATAGTTAAGATAGGATTTGCAAGTCAGGAAGTTTCTATAATACAGCTCCTGGATGCTGACATTATGTATTAAAATAATTTCTCATCATTACCAACTGTAGCTATTAGCTCTTAACTGTACTTACACACGCACACCATCAACAAAGAAGCCGCTGTTCACCATCTTAACATTCCATTCCTTTAAATGAATCTCATTTGCCTATAAAAGGAAGAGCGAACATTTCATTGTCAGTTTGCAATGCATTGTGGGTATATTTATTGCAAGATATAGGGCGCTATTTTAGTAATAGGAAGCAATTTCAAACACAGCCTTGCTTTTTCATTAGCTACGCTACACTCTACATTAGTTGGACTGTTTCTTGTTGCCCAGAAGTGATGTCATTTCCTTAAGGGCAACAGCCCTGGCATTAAGATCTAAAAGGAATGCCAGCTAGGGAAAACCGTATGTGCCAAACGCTGCTGAAAACAGCAGACACTCTACTCTCTTACGGTGCCATGTTGTCTCTTCTTCAGCTTTATCGAGTCCTCTCTGGCGCTCTTTTGGAAGATGGCGGCCCTCTTTTTGGGGATGCAGATCCGAGGCGAGTTCTGCAGCAGGGCATCGTCCGTGATGTCCGGAAGTGGGCCGGGGATGGGGCCTGCCTCGAATGTCTGTACTATAGGTTCCTCTGGGCTGAGGGAGGAGCCAACGGTCGAGGGGGCAAGCGACACAGCAAACACATCCTGGGAATCCTCGCTGTCAGTCTTATCGCCACTCGGCGTCGTTAAGCTTCGTGTTACGGATTCAAGAGCAGCCTCTGAAAACAGAGGAATAATGTTGGAAGCCTACTCATTATGACGGCCAGAACGTTCATGCTTAGCCAGATTAGCATTAGCATACACAATTTAAACCATCTCTGAATTATACTAGCATCATGTCACTCATGGCTGAATTTATCCACTTTGGGACGTGCATATATAAGACCTTAGCAATTGTTTTCACAAGCTGTATTTTGAAAGAAAGCATCTTTGCCAATCTAGTATCCTATGGGAGCTGGGAGGGAGCAAAAGCAGGGACTGTCCTGGGGTCACTGAAGACCAGGCTGGGAAACACTGCGCTAGGAGATGCTAAAATGCATAATTTAAATACCCAATTCTGCAAATTCACTGGAAGCATTCAGAGGTCCAGTAGCATAGTACCATCTGCTAACCTGCATGTATGGCATCTGCCATGCTATCCTTTCGGTTCACCTCCTGCTGACGCTTCCGGAGCTCCACCTTCTCCTTCATGAGGGTGAATATCTTGGCTGGAGAATTCTGCGATGACTCTGGCCTCAGAGAAGCCGGAAAAGGGGCCTTTTTCACTGGAACTTTGGGGACTGTGAAGTACAGAACATCAAAGAGAAGAATGAGAACTCAACCAACACTAGCAGAAATTCCTAGGAAATAAGATTGCAGGATTTTTAGCAACCTACCAACAAAAGGCCCATCCTGTGTATCCACACTTGTGGACAAATCATCGTCCGAAGGATCGATGCTAGAAGCTGGAGGACAAATGGAAATTGGACCATGCCATTTTAATGGTGTACATTCACTGACTGGCTTGATTGAAGGGCATGTGGATTTGGGGGTCACTTTGAGTCCCTTCTGCATGTCCAGATTTAATGTCTGATTACTTTGAAATCGGGGACCTTTCTTGGGAGTAGGCAGGGGTGACAAAGTAAGGGCCTCCACATCATACGTAGCCAGGAGGAGCTCCTTGTGTTCCTTCTCTTCTCCATTCACCCAGGGCTGTTCAGATTTTCTTGGGGTCTTATTTGGTCCTTGATGTCCACTGGCTGTGTCACCTTGTTTCTGCTGAAGTTTTTCACTCAGCACTTTGGCTTTCAGCCTAGCAAAGATTTTGGCTGGGGATTCCACTGATTTAGGTTGCATCACGTTTGAAATCATTTTCTGTCCTTTCCTTGTTTGGAGAAATAGAGAGCTGTGGTCAGCCGAGATGGAGCTCAACTCAAGCGCGATTTCACCGTGGTCGTTTGCGTCATCCGTAACAGTAGAGTTCGTCACTTTTATATGACGGTTTGACGGCCTTTTCTCAAAATCTAGTGGGTTAGGGGGATGAATGAGTCGGTCTCGGTTACTTCCTGCCATCTTCAGCGAATCCTTGACAGGTGTGATGGTGTTTGATGGGTTATTATGTACAGGTATACTTTTAAATCGCCAATCTCCATCTGTTTGGACCGATGGTCTTTTAGACGGGGTAATCATGTTAAGCTACTTGTTTTGGATAACTATAAAACAAGAACTTTGATACCAGGTCGCAATTTACTATCAGATGCTAAAAAAATCTGTGGGGATCTTCAAACATAAAGCAGTGCATCCTTCTTTTATGAACGTGACGAATATACCAAAGGGACGGCATCAATCCCGAATACGGAAAACGTAAAATGACAGAATGGCGTCATGGAAATCTAATTTTCAGTATTTGAAATAGTACATTATGGGGAACACCACTCGCGCAAGTTTTCAACTCAAAGTTAATTAGTTATTAGAACACGCAGGTGTAGCACAAGTCATAACTAAACGGACACAGGCAAGATAACGGAGAAGGATAACAACCTACATAAAATGACGCTTTCTCAAAAGTAATCTCGCAATATTATAAGATAAATAATTAACTGTTATTCTAGATTGACTGCCACACGATTATATTTTATTTAAAGCTTACTTACAGCGAGCCGCTTTTAAGAAACGAGAAGTTCACCGCGATATTTTGAATTTCCCGTACAAGGATTTTATTGGTTGTCGCTGACATATAACGTCACATCCGTCTTTGCGTCATAAAATGTCAACAAACTGATGTCATTACCAAGCGACTTTCTAAAACCTGAAACGTCTGGAATGATAATGGGGAAGACAGACCCGTACTGACTGACAACAGGAACACTATGGGAAATATTCACTGTTGGGCAAATGAACTGAAATCTCGCAGGTTGACATGAAAGATGATTATGCAAAAATCATTAGAATAACTTAGCTAATGAATAATGGCCATTTCAGCGTTTCAGCTCCCTCAGGAGGTGTGGTTCCACGTGTTCCGATTTCTCCAGCCCCACGAGAAAGGAAACATTAGGAGCACTTGCAAGTTCTTCAAGGTGGTGATAGACCACCCGGCTCTCTGGAGGAAACACACGGTAGTCCTGAAGAATATCCGTTCGTATGATTCGCAGTTCTGGGCCACTCTGCGTCGGAGGAGGACTACCTCGGTGGTGGTGCATAAGGCCGGCGTGAAGGAGTGGGAGCGGCTAGCGACGGCGCTCCCTTTTTTGACATCGCTTACCATAGTGCAGTGCTCGGACCCGAAGACGCTGTGCACCATTGAGCGTTTTAAGGACTTGAGACGACTGGCGATCCGCAGTTTTCAGTGCCCACCAGGACTGGCCGGTGTCCTGGCTTCACTGGGCCATTTAACGAATCTGTGTTTATGTGAGCTCAGCGGGGCTCCTGGAGCAGATCTGATTGGCGCCGTATCAAAGCTCTCTAACCTCACCACTTTGTTATATCATGAGAGTGATAAACCTATACCCAAGAAAGCCTTCCACACTATGCTGTCATCCCTGCCTCACCTGAAGCACTTGTCTTTAAAAATGGGAGTGTTATATGGAACTCTCCCCGGCGACTATTTTATATTGCCCAAAGTGAATCGGGACCCCAATGGTGAGGAAAATCGTTCCATTATCCATTATTATTTAAATGTGTGTGTTTTTTTTTTAAAGTGACATCCATTGCTCTATCTTGAATTTTTGAAGCAGTTCAGATAATGATCCCTTCCCAGATGTACAATAGACAGATCTTTAGAGTAATTCTAACAAGCCTTTGATTTGATTTAATGTCTTTTTCCTGTGCGGCAGTAATAGGCGAGCCATGTGGTTCTGAATTCGGACTTGCCAAGCTCGAGCTTCTGAGCTACATGGACCCCATCCTGCCTCCCGCCGGCTTAGACGGTCTCCAGTGTCTGCAGAGTCTGACCATTGAATATAGAGACAGGGCTGTGGAATCAGACCGATGTCACCTGAAAACCTGGCTGAGCAAACTCCCCTGCCTTACTGAGCTCACAGTCACAAGTAAATAACATTGTAAATGTCAAACTCAAGTCAACCCATCCATAATGTTATGTGATGATTTGTGAAGCCCTCGTGTTTATTTTTTCTCATTTTTATTAAAACTATAAAGTATTTATATCATGCTCTCTGAAAATGCATCATGCCGTTAAGTATATTTTTTGAGAAAACAACATGGTTAATTTTGCCATTAACTTCACTTCTGAAGTGCTAGGAGTTTTTAGGTTCAGTGTCAGATTTGAATCCTATAATTTCAAATGGAATCAATCATGCAATGCAGACTTTGAAAATGCTATTTAAGAACTTGCTTAGAAATGCTCTGGGCTGGTGTGTCTTCACAGGAGGCTATCCCCTCAATGTGTATGCGCGTGTAATACCCAGGACGCTGACGAGCCTCTCCCTGCCGCTGGTGTTCCTGAGTCTGCGTGACATGCAGGTGGTGGCCAGGCAGGCTCCTGGGCTGCAGCACCTGCACACGGACCTGTGGAGCAGCGATGGCCATGCCTGCCTGCGGGAGCTGCCTCGGCTCTTCTGTCAGCTACGCACTCTCAGTCTGCGGTGAGATCCCCCTTATCGTTCGCTTTCTTTCCCCATCCTCTCACAGAGTCATGCTGAAGAACTCCTACTGCGACCGCTTTGAACGGCAAAATAAGAGGTGGCCTGCAGCAACAGCAAATGCTCATGGGCATTAAGGATCAGTTGCGGCTTCGTGGTCCATTGGAAGGACACTATAATGATCCTGCAGTGACCGATTTAGACTAATCGCTGTTTTATCATTAAGAGCAATGCATTGTGGTTTAAGAAAACTGGTTAGTATACAGAAAACCAGCAATGGAAACCACAGAGCCTAATTTTCCCTATTATTTTTCCTTTAATAGGTTAGGCAGCATAATTTTTGACAGTGGTCATTTTATTTGATTGATTATAAATGAATATAGGTTCATCCATCATTTCAATTCATTCTGTCTTCCTGTTCTATCTATCCTATCTTGTACCTGCTTATCCTGTGCAGTTTTGCAGGGTGAATTTAGGTTCAGAGTATACGAGACGGTGTTATGCCAGACTGTCACATGGCTTAAGTAGTGTGTCGCTGATAGCTGTAGAATTCCAGGCAGTATGTCGAGGTAGCTGTTGACTCTCTCTCTGCACCCAGGGACCTGAATGTAACAGAGATGGACTTCCTGGGCCTGGCCAGATTGCGGTACCTGGAGAAGCTGGTGCTTCTCGACCCAAATCCCGGTCCCAGTCTCGAGCTTCTGGGCCTGATCCGCGAGTTCCGAGAACGGACCAACCACGGGGTTCAAGTCGTCCATTCTCTGCCCCGTGGAGACCCAGCAGCCTGCTGCTGCTATTTGTACTAAGTGCTACGAAAGATCATAAACCACTGAGCGAGAGCACTCTGTTATTGTCATCGTGCTTGTTTTTGTTTATCCTGAGTTTACTAATGCGATTTCTGCTCGCTCCATTAATAAAAAACCTGCCATTTTTCATCTGGTTGTGCTCCCCTCATTAATGATTGTACTGGCGTAAGTCATTGTGTGTAGATAACGGGCGTTTTAAAATCGTGGCGCTAATGGATTTTCTGAAACGTTGCAGTGGCTAGGAACCCAATTATAGCCTGTGTGCTAAAAGGCCAAGATGAGGTTATCGAGACTACCGGGTGAATTTAAATCTCGGATACAGATGCACCGAGCGGACCATGGTCCGCCACTAGAGGGAGGTAAGAGCTCACGAAATAAAAGAGGGTCTTTCTCAAACAGGCTTATTTGCATGAGGCTCTCCGCAACGCAGCCCTGCCCACCTTCCAGAAGGATTCATAGAGATTTCCATGATATTTGTGCAGAATTCATTCTGCCGCGCTATACTTGCATGGCTCGGCTATGTGGTTCTTACTAAACATGGCTTACTATTAAACTGAAGGTACAGCCCGACTTCCCAGACCACATACCTACGGTTGAGACCGTGCCACTTTCCACACCTGGCAGATATAAGTGTAATATGTATGTTAAGAGCTCATGTACAATTCAGGCTTAGTTCAAATTAGTGCTTTGATTCTGGGAGCTGACCAGTCAGCTTTGAGATTATAAGAGTTGGGTACAGTGTCTTGAACCTGGAGCCAAGCCCTGGAGATACAGGCCACACCTAAATGCATGTCTTTAGACTGGGGGGGGGGAGGCAGAAATACATAGGAAGAGCATGAAAACATGTACAGAGCCAGGGGTGGAAACTGAACTCAACCTGGAGGTATCAAGTCCAACAGCCAATCTCCATATTTCATTATGCTACATTTCGTTTACATTTACACCACAGAGGGCAGGAAAGTTCGGCTTTGTTACTTTACACAGACAGCACTCATCAGATGCAGCCCCACAAAAACAGCCATGTCATGGAAGGAAGCAGAGAAAGGACTGTTCTCCATGAAAGTAACAGATGCCACAATCCACCGTCTACAATAACATGGCCCGGCCCCGCACTGCATTACAATGACAGGCATCCCAAGTTTTACTTTGCCAGCACTGTACATTTCCCAAGGGCACCGCCAAATAGTGCTGAAAGCATTTTTGTTCGTTTCACTGTTGTTTCACAGAAAACAAACTCTAGAAAAATTCATTATTGCCTATACCGAAACCGCGATGTCGACTGGTTTTTTTCGCCACCATCCCTTGAAGCGGTAGAGTCAGTGAGCTTTGAGGCAGTGACTGGCTGATGGATTTAGGTTTTCCAAAAAGCGTGAGAGTGACCAAAAGGTGTGTGTGGGGGCGGCCTGGAGGCCAGATTTTGAAATAAAAAGCACAAGTGTTTTTACTTCTGCAACAATGACATAAACTTACATGCAGGGGAACAAAGCATAAAAAACTCCATCAATCTTTTATATATAGAAATTTGGTGATTTTTTTGTCGTTTTTTTTTGCCCTGCACTGGCATCTCAAGCACGGTGTTTCCTGGGACATGGTCCAGCCCTGTACATGATAAACCACTGAAATATGCATGGATGGACTAACTTTTTTTATCCCTACTCCTCTCAAAATGAAAACAAAAATATCTAAAATGTGATTTAAATGCAAGGCCGCCTTGTACTGCTTCACAGACAAATACCAGTAAAAATTGCCAATGTTTGATGGATCTTGTAAACCAAATCTGCAATTGAAATTGTCAGACGGTAGATAGTGATCTTCATAAATAAACTAATTTGGCCCTTTTTACCAAGAGTTCCATGTGAACTCCCCCTCTGGGTTGGCAAGGATGGAAGTTACAAGAGATAAACGTTTCATCCAGATCCACCCGCACTCGCTCCGAACATATTTATCTAACCTGCCAAGCAATCAGATTAGCCAGAGAAAGCCATGGCACCTCTGGACTATTAATGTAAATGTCAGGTTTTTGTTTGATCGTGCTGTGACTTAGTTTAGATGTGTGCCTGCAGTAATTAATCCGCAGCCAGCCAGACCTGGCCTACCCCCAACTCCCAGAGAATGCTCACTAACATTTGCTTTCGGGAGTTAAAGACTCTACTCTTTTTTTCCACCAAGGTATAAGAGGTTGTGTGAGTTGCCTTTAGGTCCAATAGCTGCCCCTCCAATGCACACCATGGGAAATGATACCACAACCAATCTGTGCACCTGATGTAGTTGCAGGAGTGGGTGATTATAACCTCATTCGAAATGAATGCCTTGTCATACTCCTTCAAATAAGGAGGGTCCATTAACACGTGTAGGGAACAGTGTAAAAGGGAAAACAAGCAATGAACAAGGCCCAGACACATTCGGAGGCGGTAGGGAGACTTGGCTTTGGCGGGGGAGATGGAGAATTGGGACAGCTTTTGGCACAGGGGGATGGGCGCCGGAGGTGCATTATTAGTTAATTGTAAACCATCAGCTCCAGGTGACCTTAATTATAATTGCTGAACACTGGAGGGTGCCCCTTGGGGTACCACTTTAACACTTTCTGCGAGAAATGCTTTATAGAAAAATTCTGGCCCCACACCTCCTGGGGGGGGCTTCCAGGCTGATTTACTGGTGCATGTCATGGTTCAGGTTCCGACTGGCGCAGATGGGAGCTGGAATCGCTGACATCATCATGGATAGCCCCTCGCGGCTGATTCCAAAGGCGCTGCTTCGTGCCAGAGACGTTATGCAACAAACACATTTCTCCCTGCCGTCATCTCCGATGAGATCTGCTCGTGAACAAGGTTGCCTGGGTGCTTGGCTCTGGTCCTCCAAACTAATATGAGTAAACATTACCCAGTGAGTCTCACACCGTATAAAGTCTCTGAAAGGCCATACCGATGATTCGTGCACCCCCACCAGGGCCAGCTCTAGCGATAGGCAGAATCGGCAGTTACCTAGGGCTCCCAAATTACCTGGGTTGTGAAGGAAGTGAAATCATCATCAGTTTTCTTGGTGGGAGGGCCTCCCAAGTAAAGCTTAGCCTGGGGCCTAAATCACATACATTTTTAAGCTGAAACAGATCATCCCTTAAAAGATAATCCATTACCTCTAATCATCTGTGCATTTTCAAAATGACAATTACAGATTACCCACGGGAGATCCAAGAACATACAACAAGCTTTGTGAAGACAGCTTAGCCTAGCGATTCTTATTAGAAATAAATGACACTATACCCACATCCACATACACATGAAAGTATTATTGAGAAGAAACAGTCTGATTTTTCCATATCATTGTTTCCAAAAGTGGACAAAGTTCACAGTATAATGGGCTTGTTTCCCTCTGCGTGTGATCACAGAGCCCTTATAGGGAACTTTCTTTTTTCCCAAGATATCTAATTAACTCAGAAAAGTCAGGAAGTAAGATTATTTTTTCATGCATATATATTTTTTTTCCAGTAACTCTTCACATTAGCTGCAACTTCATAATGCATTCATTATTCACTCATAGAACATTCAGTGTGCCTTCATAATGCATTCATAGAACATTCAGTGTGCCTTCATAATGCATTCATAGAACATTCAGTGTGCCTTCATAATGCATTCATAGAACATTCATAAGCAGCATGTAAGGTAAGTATAAATAAGGCAAGTATACCCTAACATCCTAACATACCTTAACAGCTTTAATATAAATTAACAACAAATATAATATCATACAATCATAATGTTTGTTATTCAAGTATATTACTGCTATCATGTCTTGTTCATTGACAGTATTATGAATGCAATGCTTTAAGACATGTTAAGGTATATTTATGTGCTGATTATGAATGTTCTATGAATGCATTATGAAGGTGCAGCTAATGTAAAGCATTGCCTTTTTTCATATTCCTTGCTTGTGTTTGTGTATGTTTCCTCTAGGTGCTCCCGTATGAATCCCCAGTCCATAAACATATTGTTGGCTGAATTAGTGCCTCTGATTCTCCCATAGCGTGTCTTAGCATGAGTTTGTGGCCTGCGATGACCTGGCAGCCCGTCAAAGGTGTCCCCTGGCTCATCACCTGCGCTTCCCGGGACATCTTCCAGGATCAGACAGTGCGCCTGTGCTGTATGAGCTTTAGGGAAGATGGATGGATGAGATTACATGGTCAGAATTTAAGGGGGACCGTTGAAATGTGAAGATTAGCAGCATGTGCAGCGGGGTGGAGGAAACATGTCCCCAGGCCCAGTGTTTGGCCGTACTAACCCCGCCTGCAGACAGCGGGAGCCAATGATGCGGAGCGGGAGGCAGACGCACGCGGCTCGGCGTGCTCTCGGGGGGGGGGTGCTCCTGAGGGAGGCACAACAGATGGGCGAGGGGGGGGGGGGGGCCCCGCCACACGGCTCCGTTGTCCCAGGTGAACTCGCGTCGCCTTCAAGGCTGCGGTACCGCCCGCCGGGAGCGAACAGGAACGCTGAGGCACTCGCCTACGGCGGAGACTTTGACGCCGCTGTTGAGGAGCTGGCTGAGCCGCCAGAAGAGGTGCGTGCATCTGCTCGTCTGGGTGAGGAGAGAGACTGACAGGCGAAGGGCCATTCAGGAGTCGTCATAAAAACAAAATAGCGTTATATCAACTCACTCAGAGTTCTCACTTCTCACTTTCGTCTGAACCTGCTGAACCTCAGGAAGCTCTATGCAGATCAGACCGATCTAATTTTAGGTGAACATCCTGTAATTGTCTTTGCTGGGCTGTGTTGGGTGTGAAGGCTGGAGTAGACACTGCCACCCATCGTCAACCATGAAGGACCAAGAGGCATAGCATGATGCTGCTAACCTGATTCGCTGCATCTTTGTGAGAGGTGACCTCTAGTGTTCGGAGGCTGGAAATCAAGATGGTTTTTAAAATGTTGCTGCTCGTTGTTCAAGCTGGATTGTCTGTTTTTTTTCCATTGTTTGGAGAAACATAAACATGATATCTGTGGCTCCCAGGTCCCTTTGTTTCTGCTTATACACAAACATGAGCAGCTACAGCATTATGGTGTGGATTCATTCACTCTATAACATATTGTAGATGAAAACACATTTTGACTGTCTTACCAAAAGTCACTTAGCAAGCCACG